TATTCATGAACTTACACGGACTGTTATTACTTTCTCTAACCTGCATACCTTATCACTTGTGAGCCTTGGGAACGCACTTTAGTGGGAGTTCCCAGTAACCAGATAATGGAGTGATAAAGGATTTAATTGTCCATAGAGGAAGATTGATTTTCTTCAACTTAGGACCAGATGCACAACCAGGTCCCTTTTTCTGCCTGTTCTTCTATTGAGAATAGTTTGAGAAACTTACTTGAGATCTCTTCCAAGCTGGACACTCTTTCTTCAATTGACCATCTCGTCGCAATGCAAACATAGTAGATTATCAACAACAACATTTTTTTGTGTGAGGATTGTATGGGTAATATGTCTTATCACAACCCAACCCTCTTATATTATTGTTACCCTTACTAATAACATTCATAAGCATTTTGTAGGAAGTGTTCCATTTGAGGGATTTGTTCAATTCCTCTATTATACGGACCAGGTCCCTCTCCATCACAAGATTTCTAATGAAAGTCAAGTTCATATTCAATTCAGCGCTGTGTAACTTATTTTCAAGCTCCAGCTGCAAGTTGCTCGCCTCGTTCTTTCTCTTAGAAGTTGTAGTAATCACCTTTTTTATCTTACTTAGTTCTAGATTTTCAGCTTCTAGAACTATCAATTGTTCTTCCACAACAGACATTTGATCCACCACGACTACCTTTTCTTCATGAAGGATATCTAGGTTGTTATTCATCAAATCATTTTCAGTTTTAAACTCAATGATAGAGTCAATCAACACAGCGGCTAGATTCCTCAACCTTTTATCATTGAAGACACTCAAGTTTTGTTTAAGATCAAGGAGAGTTACCTTTTCTTCATCATCCTCGTCATCAGATTTCGCCATGAATGTGAACATGCCATCAAACACATTTTCATCGTCTTTAACAGCTTGCCTAGATACACCTACAGGACATTCTGATTCATTTGACTCAATTGAGGAGTCTCCCCAAACATCAAAAGCTTTCTTCATAATGTAGCCAGCTGCAACTTTTCTTGTTTGTTTTTATCAGGAACTGGGTCCCTTTTTCTGCCTTTCTCTCCTCCAGGTCTTTGATAATTTTTTACTTCAACCTTATGCATGGGGAAATCTCTGGTGAAATGCCCTAAATCTTTGCACTTGTGGCACTGCTGGTTTGCATTTGCAACTCTATTTGAGTTTTCTACCTTTCGTAAACCTCTATCTTTCCTTTCCCATTTTTGAAACCTTCTCGTGAGGCATGTCATGTCCTTATATTCATCAAAAATTTTACCAGATATCATCTTGATAGCTAGAGAATTCTTTTTTTTCAACTCCTTCTTTGATACTTCTTGATTTCCGTTGAGTGGAGCAACCATCTTTTCATATGAATCTCACTTGGTGTTAACCATCTAGAGAGAACCTCCTCTGATACCAATTGTTGGAATGAGTTCTTCCACTATCAGTCAACGGACAACACAACACATGCAGTTTACGTGGAAATCTCCTTACTCAAGAGAGTAAAATCATAACCTGTTGCACAGGATTTTCAACTGTCTTCACTAATCTTCACAAGAAAAAGTGAAACCTAGTTACAACAATGTGAGAAAAATTTATTAATCTCACGACCAAGCAACAACCCTATTGCTTGAAGAGCCTAAGCAGATGACACTCTACCCACTAAGTTATCACCACTAGACAATTTAGGATTCAACTAAGCAACACGCAAGTTGCCCACTAAATTACCACGTTTCGGATGACTTAGGATTTGACTAAGCGGATACCACACCTCCCACTAAACCATCTAAATCTAGATGACTTAGAATTTTACTAAGCAACAAAACAATGTTGCCCACTAAATCAGTTAACCCTAATTGATTTAGACTTTTACAAACACGAAACAAATATTTGAATCCTTTATATATTAGGAACAAATTTACAATGTAAGCATGGAAGATATAATCCTAACACAACTAAGTAGCTTGCAACTCTATCAGGTCCCTGTTGCTCTTAGGATGATCCTTCTTGAAGATGGCCTTTGCTTTTTGAGCTTTAGAATTTTCTGAAATCCAAAACTTTATTTGTCAAAACTTATGTTTGTATTGTTAGAGAAGAGACTATATCAAAGTGGATACAAACCATTGGGACGAGTCTATTGGTTGAGAGTGTGCTGTTATTAAAAGTTGTGCACCAACCACATCCGAATTGACAGTTTTTTGGCAGCTGTCTTTTTGTCCTTTTCTCATATGCAGACTTTCCGGGACCACGTCCCTTGCTACGTTCTTAGAGAGTTCCAAAATAGACTTATTGGCTGACTTTTTCCTTTGAATGAATGACTTTAACATGGTGTTTGTCATGTTGAAAATATCAACCATAAATAGTTATTAACTGTTGGACAAACAACCTCTTTCATTCTGATTAGTCCAGTACACTGGCGTCTCACCTACCATTGACAGGACAACTTTACAGCTGTACACCATTATGTATCAGATGGAGAGAGCTCTGCCAGTGACCAGGTCCCTGCATTTGTGAGCCACTGAAACAAACAATCTCGTCAACTCTTCTTATTGGTGCAATATCTGCACTTTCACCTTCCATCTGACATGACAACTTTACAGTTGTACCCTAGGATGAATACGGACGATAGCACTCTCCTAAGGACCGAGTCCCTATATTTGTGAGGATCATAAAAAAAACCTAGAATATAAGATTTATCTACCCAACCTCACATAAGATAGTAACATTTTTTCTTAATTGAATCATTTTGTTCGTGTAATAATAATTTTAGTATTGTTTAATTGAACAAACAGTAGCTTGCATTTGAATTATTCATGTCTTAGGTGTTTGTGTCTATCGAGATACGTATATCCTTAAAAAATTATTTTTCTCATACCAAAAAAATAGAAAACCTGAAGCAAATCAAGAATAACCAAACCAATGATTATGTTTTTTGTTTGGTTTGATTTTAGAAATTTAAAAAGCCGACTAGATTGATTTGATTCTGATTTTATTTTATCCAATAATTAATTCAAACCAAACCATGAATACCCCTAGAAATCACTATTATTGTTATTGTTGTAATTTGTTTTCTAGCTGTCATTTTTATGATGTATTGATTTGTATTAGCTGTTATTTGATAATGAAATGACATAACAAAGGCATTAGCTTCAATAATTGACTATATTTGCTTCAGAAGAACCTCTTCACACAAATTTGAATATCAACTTAACAATGAAATTTAATAGTTGGGATCAAGTCATTAGTCTTCACAATAACAACTTAACAAAGGCAATAATTGATTGTATTAGGCATTCAAACACAAATTCATAAACAAAAACAAAATCTTCGTAACAATAAGGTAGAACCAAAATAGTTTGGATGACTATAATAAGCTAAAAATGTCAATTGAAATCGAGTCATAAGTTTAACAAAGAGTAATCTAATGTGTGCATTGAGCACTTGGTGTAACATGTGTGTCTATTATAGATTGAGTGCTTCTGTAAATCTCCTCTCGTAGCTCTGTTTGAGTAACTGTAGTTCTTTCCTTCCACCTTAGTCCATTGGTTTGTAACCAAGACTAATATTGGTAGGAGTTGAATTTGTAAATGTATCACTATGCAACACTTTATCGGTATTTTTAGACCGAGAAAATGATTTAAAAAATCTCCACTAAAAGATGATTTGATGTCAATTAAATATGTTCAAATGATATAATAAATATTCTCTCAATTACACTGCCACTTGATCCAAATAAGACATCATAATTAATTGTTTTTGCATTTTTTTTATCTTGATCTCTTATATTCAGGAATCACACCACTTCTCAAAGTTTTGTTACTATTTCTTGATAGGCCAAGTGCACTAGAAATTGATTGTTTAGTATCTAATGGAGTTGTGTTCGGTATAACACAACACTAATTGGACGTCTACCATATATTTAAGTAGCCTTACACCACTTGATATAGCACTAGTAAGCCTTTCATCAATTGTTGAAGTTGTTGTAAGCCTTAAACCTACTATGGTAGATGTCACACTTGGACCTGCATTAGTACTTGATTGACTTTCAGTTGCAACATTTGTAAAATCAGATGTAGTGAATGTTTTTATCACTTCAACAAGTTTCATTAGTTAAGGATCCAACATATTTTTTCAAACATATTTAAAAGTCAAAGGTACAACTAGAAAGAATGAAATCCAGTCACAGAAAGACACTTACACCCAAATTATCAAAGTTGAGTATTCTTTCTTGTTACGTTCAAAAGTCTTACATAAAATATTTTATTTGTCTTCCTTTCATTATAGCCTTTTCAAACTTCTTAATAGGTTCATCATTATCTTTTCTCCTATTTTTATTCGATCTTTCTGGTATGATAATAATTTTAAATGGTTGGTCTTGGGCTTTTCTACTACATTTTTGTGTTTGTTATAGGTTGAATAAACATATAATATGCTTTCAAGTATATTTCTTTCTCATACCAATGATAAACAAATGACTCAGCAATTCAATCCTTATAGTGAATTTATGTTAGTTCATGGGTACCAGAAATTTTCTTAATTGTCATGATCTACAACTACACACCTCTCTTTTAGCTCAACAACATGTTTATATAGTGGAGCATGAATCTCAAATTCGAAATCACCATTAAACTTGATCTCAAATTATCTATAATTTTAGCATTTCATCTAAGAACTTTCATAACCATTGGTGATATATCAAAAAACAATTACTTTTTTTTAGAAAATTATTACATTTGATTCACTATTTTCATGATTTTGACTCTTAATTCCTCTAACATAGAGATGATTGATTTGATCTTGCACTCAAAATTCAACGATTGAAAGTCTTACACATGTTGTTTTTAACCACATCACACTAACTCTTTTCTTTAAAAAATGCTCTAGATCATGATTTTTTGTAATACTTCAACATATATTTCACAATGTCTTGTCCTATACATGTAAAGCACTTTAAATGATGTCCTGTAATATGGCAAAAAAAAATTATCCTTTTTTCACTCAACCATTCTTTCTTTCCGTTTGTCTGTATATCCATAGCACACCATCTAATTGCAATATTTGAAAATAATTCAATAAGTGCTACTTGAAAATGGATGTCAAATAAAGAACATTAGACATACAAAATTGTTAAATATCTATTATTATAGAAAGTTGAAAAATAAATTTAACAAATAATTTAGTAGTATCTTCGACATATCATATTTCAATATTAGTCCTTAACCTTCAGTTTCTGTAAGCTCCAAATCATGTTTGATGCACTTGAGAAACGAAGGTCGTGTGTCCTTAGTCTCTTTATCAACTACTGCTCATACTATACGATATATCTGATTATTTTCATCTTTGAAAATGCAAGATAACAGTGCATACACTCTTAAGAAATACACCATCTAAATTAATTCTTCTACACAATTCTTTTCATCCATTTTTTTAAGAAATCAAGACAAAATACAGATGTCCATAAATAATTCTTTTTCTTGAAATTTGTCTCTTGGATATCCTAATAGATATAGTAATTTTTGAATTTGTGGTATTTAACTCTTCAGCATAGTCATACTCCCTAGAAAATTCCTCTCTAAAAATCATCCAAATGTGCATGCATAATTCTCTTTTTTGCCTTTCTACAAATTGTCTTACGGCATACAAACCTTACTACTTTCTTAACAAAGATTGAATATAATGTAGTTTGATGATAGGTTCACCCATAATCCTTTTCTTGTAAATTTTACTAATCCATATTTGATATAGAATTTATTTATTATTCTAATATAACAACTGTAGAAAGATAAATATGTCTTCACAATAAAGTTTTCCGTGTTATCATCAATACTCTCAAGAATAAGACACGGACAATTCATTTTTTTTACACTTTACCCTTATCATTTTCTTGTTATTAGATTTCAACCTAATATTCACACCTTTTTTAATAGAGTAAACTTACAGTGTCTCCCTAAACTCAATATGAATCAAAAAATTATATAAAATTGAAAATAAAATTTTTCAAGCAATTGGGTCAAAATAGATCTCAATACTTGTATTCCTAGGTAACGGATCTACCACTTCATCTTTCTCAATAAGATCCCCTTTTTCTTCGCTAATACTGTCAGAATCTGAGCTATCATAATAAGGGTCATCGCTTCCCGAATTGCCTTCAAATCTTCTCCATGTGTCCTCAGAAAGGTCTTCAAATCCAACTATAGGATCAAATGGTATCTCATCAAGATTTACTCTATCAACCTTCTCTTTCACTCTTACACGAATGTTAGACTATCTAGCTTGAAGCAACTACTTCTTCAAACTACTGAAATTATCAATTTTTTTAACAACATCATGATAGAGTGAATCAATATCAAAATAAAGCTTTACATTTACTGTAGGGATCAAATGGTATCTCATCAAGATTTACTCTATCAACCTTCTATTTCACTCTTACACGAATGTTAGACTATCTAGCTTGAAGCAACTACTTCTTCAAATTACTGAAATTATCAATTTTTTTTAACAACATCATGATAGACTGAATCAATATCAAAATGAAGCTCTACATTTACTCTAGGAAGGTGGTCTTCAATTTTGGTGATTGATTATCATTTAAATTGATATTTTTATTTTTCTCAAATGGTTGAGAAGAAACCATATTAGCCCGATCTTTTTGCGGGAAGGATGATACACCAACTCTTCCTTTTTTTGGAGTGGAGGACTTATCAGCACTAGTGCTAGGCATTACAGGTTATCCTCAACAACTAAAGGTATACTAATTTGGCTTATCCCAAATAAATCAACAAAGTCTTAACAGTCAAACTATTTAGAAATTTTAAATCATCAGAATCAATATTTAACATGTAATAACTACCCTTATCGACTCTACATCCAAATGTTTCAATGTTTTCAACACCAATTTTAACTGTCAATTTATGAAACAACACGATATGCAACATTTATATCTATATTATTATTATTTTTCAAAGCTAATGATTGCATTGACATACCTTATATAAGGGTCAGATACAAAACAATCTTCATAGCGAAATTGAAGTATCATTATCATTAAAGTCATTTACTTACCAGTATAGTGATAAGAAAAGAACATCGCCAGTGAATTTGTACGTACTAGGAAAGGATTTCAATTTTAAAAAGTAAAAATAATAATTCAAAGCCCTAAAAAATTTTAAGGAAACAAAGTTTGAAGACTCTTACACACCCCTGATATATAACAACGGACCACTCACAAAATTAATACCCAAGACAATTGACGAAAAAAATATTAATTTCAAACAAAACAAAAATCTTATGAATAAATCCTAGAAGCAACTAGAATTCAAAAAATATGTTATTGGGGTCCCTTAAAGTCATATAACCCACTACAAAATCATATTACACTAACAAAACCTCAAAATTTTCGAAAAAAAATCTAATGAAAATCAACCTTTAAAACAAACAAATACATACAAAGAAAAAGATAGAAATATGAACTAACAAATTGCTTGAATATAGAGAAACTTACAAATGAAAATCAAATATAAAATGCCCTTCAACTGAGTTTGAAAGAGAAGGTGAAAATCATGGAGGATCTGAGCTACTAGGAGAAGAGGAAAGGGGAAAGAGGGGAGGGGTGATGGAGGACTTGTCTAGATGAACAATGAAAAATGAGTTTTCTCTATTCATATTAGTCATTTTCTATGCGGACTAAAAGATTTCTATGTAGATTGAAAGTTTTTTTTATTTAACCGACGTGTAAGTGTAAGTGTTTGTGCTACACGCATACTACCAAGTCAAAAAGTATGTTAAATATGTTGATTTAGATGACAAAAAAGAAAATTTAAATACAAACAAATAGAAATATAAAGATTTATCGGGCCTTTTTATTCAAATACAATTAGGTTAAACTTAAATATGCACCATCGTTTAAGAAAGTTGTACATAGTATTTGTATTTGGAAGGAACAAATTAGTCCATTAAATACAGAAGGTTGAAACGCAACCACACTACTCCTTTATATATATATATATATATATATATATATTAAAGGAAAAAAACAACTTTTGGACTAATCAATTTAATAACTTTTTTTATGTAAAATTAAAAAAAAAAAATTGGACATTTCTATTAATTCCCATAAATAGGAAGCTCCTAAGATTCGCTCTTATTAGTAATAATAAATAAATAATACTAGACACATGCGTCCGTGGTAGCACAGATCCAATATTTGTTATTATTTGTTTCACATAGATAAAATTTAGAGAGTCAATTAAATTTGAGAGTAATTTAGAGAATGGCAAACTAATAATTTAAATTAAATGGAGTACCTACCGTTCAGTTATTTCCTTTAATAAGCCAAATCTCAGTCATTTTGCTATTACAGGGCCCCACTGTTTTGTATAAATTATTTAAAAATAAAATAAAACGTACGTTTTTTTCTCTTCCTTGTTCATACAATCTCTTCTCATGTTTCCTTCAATATCTCCCAATCTTCTCTCCAAATTCAATTTCAAATTTCTCCAACACTTCTTCATTGTGTTTTTAAAATTACTTCAAAAAATTTAGGTACCGCCAAAAAATTTTCTTATTTAATCAATTTTTGATAATTTTTTTTCACTTTTTCCAAACTACTTTTCACATAAGTTCATAATTCATATAGACTTTGGGTTCAAACAATGGATGCCGAATATCCATTGAAGAGATTCACAAGAGGTATATTATTATATGTCAAATATAATGTTGAATACCAATTGTTTTTCTTGGGTCTAACTCAGAAGATTTTTTGGGAGATTTCAGGTTCAATGTCTAAATCGAATAAAATGCAAGAGATCATATCCAAATTGAGGAATGAACCAATTAGATTTCTGAATGGAGGTATCAAAGATAAGGTTGATGTTGCTGTGTGTCAAGTAAGAAAAGGAAAGATAAAATTGATGTTTATACAGAACACAATGATAAATTTGAAGTTGTTGTTTCTAGGTAATCGGAGCATGTTAAGGTATATGTATAATCATTTATGTATATGTTACAATCTTATGTTATTTTTATATGTTTTGTGTCATTCATGTCTTGTAGTGCTTGCTTGTACAATTGTGGTTGTATAGATGTATAATATTAATAGTAATTGTGTAATGTTCATTTAACCATACAAATTGCTCACATTATACACATACATAAATTGATGTATTTCACTATGCATACTATGTAACAATTATACATTTTAAATTTGTTTGTATAAGCATAATATCAATGGTATTACCTTGACTTTTTGTCTTGCTTGTGTGTTTTTACCTTTTGCTTTTGGAATTCATGAAATCGCTCTATTTGAATTACATATGTTTTGACTTTTCTGATTTTCATATTTGTGTTTAATATTGGAGAAGCATTGTAGGTCATGAATCTGAAAGATTGTGTTCAGTCAGTTTGATTGCCAAATATTTTTTAAGTTAATTCATCTCTTCTACTGCTTTCTTATACAATTGTGGGTGTATAAATGTATATATTAGTAGTTATTTTATAATATTCCTTTAACCATACACATTTGCTTACACTTATGCGCATTCATAAATTGTTTGTATTTTATTATACATATTATGTACCTATTATACATTAGAATTTGTTTGTATAAGTATAATATCAATAATTATTGCCTTACTAGTGGTACAACAATGTATATATGTGGATTATGTAAATATTTATACAACTGGAGTTACTGTGTATAATGAAACAGAATGTGTGACTTTAGGGATTTTTTTCCTTTTTAAAATAAAGAAATTAGCGCCATTTTTATTTATTTTTTTAAACAATAATGTGTATAAAAAGGGAGAACGAGCGAATATATAAAAGAAACATTCACACCAAACAAAAATTTTGCCACGGAGTGCAATTTTAAAAAATTTGCTATAGCATAAAATTAGCAATTTTATATTTGCTATACATAAAATTTGCTCTAAATTTTAATATGATTTTTAAATATTTTAAAGTTGTTAATTATTGTAATTTATAGTGCCTTTACGCAATTTTTAAATAATATGTGTACTTTCTTTGTCTCAGCATATGTGGCCCAAATAGAATTTCAAAAGTCAATATGCTGTTAAATTATAGTGTGGAAACACACATGTGAAGCAGACATATTGGCTGCTTCACATGTGTTGTTTAGATAAAATAACTAAAATATGAATAAGAAATATATTTACGTATGCGAAATGTCAAAATCCTCAATCAATCAATAAACTAAAATTGATTAAAGACTTCTACTAATTACAACACAAATTTTCAAGCTGAAAATCTCGTAATTATCAAAAATACTACTCCCTCTGTCCACCACTAATTGTCATGCTTTCCATTTTTAAAGTCAAACTATCGTATAGTTTTTGAATGTCAAAATTTTTTGTTTAAAATATTGAATTAATGTAATCTAATTTAACTTTAAAATTAATCAAATTAACTTTCAAAAATAGCAACATAACAAATAAAAGTGGACGGGGAATAATTAATTTACGGGGAAGAAAAAGCTTAATTAAAACAGAAATATTAAATGATACATGTTGACCTGCAGTTATGCGCTTATTGACAATTATATATAAGTAGTAGATAAAAATTAAATAAAATAATAAAATGTAGATGAGAAATAATAGCAAAAAGGATTAATATTTAGTTCTCTTTTATGATTGTGAATAAATATCTTTTTTATACACTATTTTCAAAAAAAAAGTCAATTAATTATTGATTGCAGTTTAAAAGTTGTATAGAACTAAATTTGTAGTTATTTTCTATTTTTAATTTGTCTAATTCACTTCAATCTGAATTAACTATGTTTTGATATTGACTTTGTAACATTTTCTTAGATATTTCAAGCTTAAACTAATCAGATAATTTATTAATTAAATTTAAATAGACATTGTCTCAACTTTGAATTACTTCACTACAATTTTGATAATTTAGGGGATAATGCATAAGTACCCCCTAGCCTATAAGCGAAATTTTAAAGACACACCTAAACTTAACTAATATCCTATTACCCCCTCCCTCCTCCCAACTCATTTTATTCGTATTTTTATGCACCTTTTGTACTGATGTGGCACCTTCAATCACTCAAGTTGGTTGTGTTACACACTCCCTGCCATGTGTGTAAATAATTTTTTCAATTAAAAATTATTTTTTACAAAATAAAAATTAAAAAAAATACTCAAATTTTTTAAAAATTATATTTCATAATTTTTTAAAAAAATAATTTTTTAATTTTTTATAAGAAAAATATTCTTATTCTTTTACCTTGTATTTAGATTAAGTTAACATTTTCTAACCTTGTATAGAAACTATTTTTTTTTAACTCAAATTCATTTTTTTTTCTCTTTTATTTTTCTATTGAGTTTAATTTTTTTGTCTTCGTTTTGATTTGATTTCAAATGCTTGTATTAAAATAAGTTAATTTTAAATGGATATCAAAATAAGTGAAGAAAATCAAATAAAATATAAAAATATTAAAAAATTAAAATTAAAGGACACTTTTAAATTGTTTTTTTAAAAAAAACACGCACAATCTATTAAAAATAATTAAAAGTGAAAATATAATAAATTAATTGAAAAAATTTAAAGTGAAAAGAAACAAAAATAAATATTTTACAAAGAAAGAAACAAAAAAAATTATATATATATAAGTTTTATTATCAATAAATATGTGTACTAACTAATTAAAAAGTGACCAATTAAAAATGACATGTGTCCAATTTGTGCATTCGTCACAAGCCTTCAAGAGAGTGTGCACATTTTTTATGACATGTCAGCATTTGTGGTGCATTTATTCCATTTTAAATTAGTTTAGAGTGGGTAATATGACTCTAATTAAGTTTAGGTGTGTCTCTGTGATTTCAGTCATAGTCTAGGGAGAAACTTATGTATTTTCCCATAATTTAGAGAGAAATAGCATAAGTACCCCCTCAAACTATGATCGAAATTCCAAAGACACACGTATACTATACTAAAGTCTTATTACCCCTAAACTTATTTTGTAATAATTTTCTACCCCTTTCGGTTTATGTGGCACTAACTTGAAAAAAAATGTCAACACAGGCTGGGCCAACAAGATAGTGCCGCGTAGGTCGAAATGGGGTAGAAAATTATTTATAAAATAAGTTCAAAGGATAATAAGACTTTAATATAATATAAGTGTGTCTTTGAGATTTTGAGCATATATTAAGGGGATAGTTATTTATTTGTCCTAATTTAGACCAATTTTTGTAATTAAAAATAACATGTAATATTAGACAAGTAAAAATTGATTCTCTAACTGGCATATTCAATTGATTGAAGTCTTAATTTATTTTGTAATACTTCTAGAATTACTGGTATATTTTGTGTAACAATTGATTCCATTAAAAAAGTTTTTTAAAACTATATTTAATAACAACTTATCAAAGATTTAAACATTTGCTGTATTATGTAATGTACAATAATTTATATATATTCTTGTAAAATATTAAATTGTCAATTGATTGAGAAAAATTAATTATTAAATAATAATTCGGTTCTTCTTACTTAATATTTTTTTTTCTAAATTTTGGCTTTAAATTATCTATTATTATATTCAATCACATGGGGACAAAGGCAAGAAAATTTACACCGGAGATGAATGTCCCTAAAAGGATAAATAACGATTGATAATTTTAGGTTTAGATTGGATAAATCTATTCAAAATCTTAATAAGATAAATTATTTGATGAGTAAAAGTTAAAATATAAAAAAATAAAAAGAATTACTTGTTATTGATACCTTTCTCAAACACGAGGATATATGAACATTCACACTGAAGATGAATGTCCCCTAAAATAACGATTGAGAATTTTAG